CACAGCACCAGCAGGACCTCGCCCACCATACTCTGTGCACCACAGAAGCTCACACAACATCCCACACAACCATACATGACACGCATAAGACAAAAACCAAGTACACCTCCCCGTACACCTGACAACCACACTTAAACTGTGTACTGATGTGGTGACTATCCTGCTAATAATCCTGTAATTTAAAAAAATGAGTGGTTATAATGCATAGAAATGCTAGAAAGGTGCCAAATTGGTCTGTCTGGTAATTCCCAGACAAACTCTAACCCTAGACAAACTTTGCACCGATGTCAAACTCAGAAAACAACTAATCAAATGTGTATCTGTATTATACATATCCTGTTATTTTGTCGCGTACTCTACCTTCTATGTAACGTATTACAAAATGCCTCAACCACTCAATAAAAGAAAGAATTACAAAAAAAAAATAATAATAATAATTATTAATAAGAGAAAAAAGATCATATGATGAAAAAGAAAAATGTATACAAAAAATATTATGGGAAACCCAAAATTAAACATTGAAAAGCAGTGTACCATATGCTTAAGTCACAGACCCATATAACTATAAATCCTCTATAAGAAGGTTGTATCACATGCTTTCGTAAGGAAGTCACGAATATATAGGGATGTTCAAAATGTGGCCCGGAGGTATTCAAGAATGAAACAGACCTTGACCTTGGGAGGAAGAGCCAGAGATGATGCATCAAACAGGAAAGTTGACAAAATGGCAGAGAAACGGTCATTACTATAATTATCAGGTCTTTGATTTCAGGGAGGTAGGAGGAATACCTAGTTGTCTCTTCAGGAACCTTTTTAAAAATTCTAAACTCATGTTTTGGGAGTAACTCAATTTTAATTTTCGCAGAGAAAAAGATTTGTATGTATAGTCTAGCTAAATTGCACTCAAAATATAAATAACTTTTTAATTTAATATCTAATTTTTATCTTAGAGAACTGAAATATACCTGTTTTAATGCATCCACATACAGTACATCACTTTCTTCTCACCATCCTTAATGCGGCAGCTTAAATTACCTACGCATTATGAAATTCTGCAGGGGTGTAAAAATTTGTAATAGGATACATATGCATTCACTCTTATTCCCTACGGCATCCACTCCTGCAGGAGATGCTGTATCGATATGGACGAAGCCATAATGTTGCCGACATGCATTCTGTATCACCCAGCAGAGTTTACCAGACATCTTGCTTGGCTCTAAGGCATAATAGTATTTTTGTTTGAGCGCTAAATAATATTTACTTAGTGTAGTCCTGTAGTGTTTTGGTGCTATACTATAAAATAAAAAAATAAAAACACAAACAAAAGCAGAAACAAAACAAACAAACTCTAACACTAAACATGTGTTAGTTAAAACAGTGTACAGTTATTTAGCGGAAACCCAAGTCATTCTATTATATAGTCACTGCCAGAGTCTCATCAGCATTAACTTCCAATAACGGAACAAAAACCAAAGCCATCTCCAACCTAATTTCTGCAAACTGGTCCAAAACAATGAATAAACTGCATTAGGCTGCTTAATATTCACAGTATCAAAAAAGCTTCCTCGCTACATCCCAAAAAAACAAAAACACAACTATTTAATTTCTTTTAAAATATTATTAACCATAAAAAGCAAAGCACAGTGAAAAGGCCAGATTATAACGAAAGCTGTTGTTTTGATCAAGCTCACACAATAAAAAAAAAACTCAACCCCATGATATTTCCAATTGTGCATCAAGGATTGTATCATTTGTGCTGATTTAAGCACAGTGCTGAAAAAATATGGATTTTACTTTTATTTTCCTTGGTTGTGGTACGGATAATTTACTTCTGTGATCAAATTTAAGAATCAGTAGGGACCGGTAAATCACTGCATAAAAGAAAAAGCCAATGAGGTCCTCTTTCTTTTGTGTCAGCGTGCTGTGATTATAGCCTTGATTAAATTTCGGTGAATGGGCTTCACATTTTTCTCAAATATGCAGGAGAGTTATATTTCCCTTTGGAGCTCTGAATTAGCATTTCAGTGGCTGAGCCCTTGGAAAAATACAATAAATGCTTTCAATTTATTATAACATTGTACTGTGTGGATACACTTTGTATGTGGCCAATGTGCTCACACTTTACACAAACTGTCTATGTACTCACATCTTGCACCCTATGCAAATGACCTATGTACTCACAATTAGCACTTTATGTTAATGGTCAATGTGTTTGCAGCTTGTATTCTGTCGCTATGGTGGACGTGTTTGGATGAATCATGTGTGACGGACCCTCCGTCAATCAATGCTCCTAAGTGTGGCGAAGTTGCTTTCGTCCCATCATGGTATGTGCTTTATTCTCACTCCCTCTAGCATGTAAGCTCATTGAGCAGGGCTCAATCCCTCTGTCCCAGTCCGTCCAACTCGTCTGGTTACAAATACGTGTCTGTTACTCCACCCATTGTAAAGCACTGTGGAATTTGTTAGCGCTTTATAAATACTAATGATAAAGATTTATTGTTGAAAATTGTGTACTTTATTTGCAATTGACTGTGCTAATTGTATTTGCACAGTAGATATAGTTGTTTATATTGGATAGATATTTTAGTTTGGATTGGAGGCTATAGTCTATATAGTTGTGTTGTATAATATTAGTGGCACTATTGTGTAATGTTTGTATGTATTATCAGGCTGCTAAATTCTTATTTACTAAGTTTTGCTCTATTAATAATTGAGGGATCATAATTTTAGGTAGTAGTTGTATTACGGCATTCTGTAAGATCACTTAAAGGACCACTATAGTGCCAGGAAAACATACTTGTTTTCCTGGCACTATAAGGTCTCTAGGTCCCTCCCGCCGGGCTCTAGGGGGTCGAAGGGGTTAAATCTTACCCATTTTCCCCCGCCGGGGAACTCTCCTCCTTTTTGCCGTCATCGGCTGAATGCGCATGCGCAGCAAGAGCCGCTCGTGCATTCATCCAGTCCATAGGAAAGCATTCTCAATGCTTTCCTATGGACGCTGGCGTCTTCTCACTGTGAAAATCACAGCGAGAAGCGCCTCTAGCGGCTGTCAATTTTTTTTTTGAAAGAGGGATTTTACCTTTCTGCTGGGGGAAAACATCCATGAGAATAAACACCCAATTTAATGCTATCCCAGCTGAGAGAACATAGATTAAACCTGGATCACATTTGTTCTGGTATGTGTTTGCATGGTTAAAAATAAATAGAATGGAAGACAGGTTACCCACAAAGAATAATGTGTGAACTCACAAATTATTGCTAACTGTATGCCAGAGACAAGTAGCAATGTTTATTGAAACCAGTAGGTGACGATAAAAACTTATCAAATGCACTAAAGTTCTATATATTGAGGAGCCAGGCAGGTAATGAATAAAATCTGTTCACACACTTTGGGTATTTTTTTTTTACATTTTGTGATACCTTTCCATGATTGCTTACAGAAAAGTGATGGCTAACGACTGTCTGTTGTGGCTTGCCATAATTGGCATAAAATGATATTAGCACTGTAGTTATGCATGGGACATTTGCTTTGATCCAGTAGATTTGATCTACTTGGATTTTGCCAAGGCATATACGGTTCCACACAAGTTTCTATTAAAACTGAAATCAATTCATTTAGATGAAAGATTGTGTTCTTATGAATAAAACTGGCTTAAAAGATAGACTACAGAGAGTAGTTATAAATGGAAATGTTGTCAAACTGGACAAAAGTGGTATGTGGGGTGCATCAGGGTTCTGTCTTGGGTTCACTTTTCTTTAATCGGCTCATAAATTAACTTTAAGTGGGCATAGAAAGTAATTTGTCAGTGTTTGCAGATGGCACAAAACTAGGTAATACAGTCTGAACGTGATGAAACTTATCCACATAGGGAATTTGGATTAACCGCTATGTGCTAACCTGTTCATTAGCAGGAATATACAACAAACAAGTAATCACCCGAGGAGATTCAAAGAAAAGCATTTTCACTCTCAGCTGAGGAAAGAGTTCTTTACAGCAAGAACAATAAAGATGTGGAATTCTCTACCAAAAATTAATTGTCCTCTCAATTTTATAGATTATTTTTTTTTAATGCTTGGATGCTATATTGCATAAAACATAATATTTAATAATATAATTGATATGTATGAAAACAGGTTGTTTATCCAAGAAGAAATCTTATTCCCATTATGGAGTCAAGAAGGAATGTTTTCCCTTTTTGTGGCAAAATTGGAAATGGCTTAATTGTCCCTGTTCCCTTAACCCTGCAAGTAAACACATAATTGGAGGGTTAAGACAACCGCTAGTGGCTGATAACCAGCCAGCCACTACAGGCACTTCCTCGATTCACAGAGCTTAACTAGGAGAAATAATGCTGGATGCTTTTCATGAGGAAATTACTGATTCAGCGCTGGAATCAGGTAAGTTCTTTCAAAGTCTTTCAGGACTAGGGATGGGGCAGACGCAGAGGGACATTAGTGTTTGGAATATAAACTTAAAATTTCTCCCTCACATCACTGCTATCCAGAAGGCCGCACCCCACCTCTTTAGCTGAAGTAATCAAGTTCGATGATCTCAACCAATTAAATGCATTCCCATGAGAAAGCTACTGCTCATTAGCGACAAGACGACCCACCATGCCAATCAGATGCTTTTACTCTTTTACGTCCTCAGTGGCAATTACTCCCTGCAATGAAATTACTGTGCCATGTTTTCCACTGTAGGGTAAAATAGGAAGGTATATTGAGATGAAGTGGTTTGGGTGCCTAAAGTTTTCCTTTAAATTTATAAATGTGACAATGTCTACTGAAATGTAAAATGTAAAACAAAAAAAACTAAAAACTTAACGTGAAAAATGTACAATTGCAGACTATAACATAGGATTTGTGTGATCTGAAAAGTGTACAGGAATATATTCTCATTTCTAATGTAATTGACATTAATAACTCGTAAATACCATAGCATTCAAGCTCATGCTACAATGAACTATTTCGAGCCACTAAATTACATTATTTAATACTTTCTCAGCCATCACAATAAAGGTAATAAGATATGGTTACATTTGGCGAAAGTTTGAATTTTATTGCATTTCATGGAACTTTACACTTTGAGAAGTAAAAAGAAAAAAAAAAAATACATTAAATCGCACACTTTTGAAAACAAAAATGCTGTCCATTATGTTCTATAATGATTTTAGAAATGTATCTATTCTATATACATAGGAATAGTATATGTTCAATACAAAGAAGAGTAACTTCATCTCTTAAACGTTTGTTGGGACAAGAGTAGCAAAATATAGGCCAAAATGGTAGTTTGGAAAAAAGTTAAAAAAAAATTACAAATCTCCTACTTGACGACTTTGGCCTAAAATACTACAACTCTTTGTTTAGGGTTAAACCAGGTTTGTCTTTAAATACAAACAGAACATAAAATATCTTTATTATTTCCTAAATAAGTGGCCCACAAATTATTTTTTTAAAGAAATATGAAAGTGAAACATTATCAATGCACTTGTTATTTTTCCGTTGTTCCCAATGTAAACCTCTTCAAAAACTATTCTCAAATGGTAATATTCAGAATTGTGATCTGGACAACATTGAATGAATATGTTTATTTATGTATATATAAATAGGGAAAAAAACAAAAACTCCTTTTAGGTTTTTTTGTTTGTTTTTTTTTTAAAGGATGGAGGTCATACAAAACCATACTGCTTGTAGCAATAGTGCATGCGCAGAAGGACAATGTCTGACAATCTGACTGCTGAAACCACAGCGGGCAGTATAAGCATCATATGAGTTGTATGTCACAGTCAATAGACTGCCAGAGATAGCTTATACAAGAGAGTTTTTATTCTGGAAATGTGTTGGGAGTAGAAACTGCAAATCGTACAGGATTCAAATATGGCATGTATCGAAGCTACGAAGGAATACCAAGTTACCTATATTTATGATTACGAACAGTTCTCAGAGATAAGTCTACAAAATCCTTAAGAAGTGGTTTATAAAAAGGCATAGAGTTCAGCTTTATTCACATGGAATCATTTAGATGTCACTAGATTGGGGATGATAGAAAAACGCCAGATCTCATACGGAGTGCAGAAATACCAGCTGCTAATGCGCATTCATGTACATATTGAATAATTTAAATAAAAATAAGTTATGCAACACTTGGCGCAAGTCTGCTAACAAAAGCAATGCTGTTAAGACACAGTCTTCTCACAAATTCTGGACATGCTGGTTTCATGACAAGGTGCTCCAAGATGATTCGCAACTCTGTGAATAATGTTCTGCAAAAAAATGGGGGAGAAGCAATTTATAATACTGTAGAATTTATTGTCATTGGTCCATTCCTATCACTATATCATATCCCTCAATTTATCAACTCGGTATATCACATTTCATCCCAGATTCCTTCAGCCTCTTCATTTCCTCTACTCCCAGTGTTGATATCTGTTACATTAATAAGAAAAATAAGTTTTGTTCCCTGCTGAATGAAGTGTTTCCTCTGAAAAGCGCTGACACAGAGGAAAAGCTCTCAACAGAAGAAGTTGACGCTGTAATGTATTTCTCTGAAAACAAGTAGTTAAAAAGGACACTTCAGACCCCTTAAGCACTTTAGCTTGCTGAAGTACTTTATGTGTAAAGTGTGTTTTTATTTTTTTTATTTTACAAAAAGTACATATTTCAATAGTTATCAGCACATTTATAAATCAACCTTGTTACATCCCATGGCGTCCTGTCAATCCTTCAATCAATTACTTCCTGATTGTTTAGCTCAGTTGACAGCAGGCAACTACCCAGAGAATATGCGTTGCATTGAGATGCACTAGGAAGCATGTGGTTTGACAGCCATGGAGAGAAGGAAAGTATTTGCAAACACTACAGACAAGAGATCTGCAGCTTTTGCAAGCTTGTTTTAGATACACTCCAATTAAATACATGCATTTTTATTAGGGATATATCTACTAAATAGTTAAAACAAAAATCCATTTGAGTGTTCCTTTAAAGGGACACTATAGGCACCCAGACCACTTCTGTTCAATGAAGTGGTCTTGGTACAGGGTCCTTATTGCACTTAGTGCTGAGAAACTGCAATGTTTACATTGCAGCACTAAGTCTGCCTCCAGTGGCTGTCCCCCAGATAGCCACTGGAGGTGCTTCCTGGATCCTAATGGACCTTTGGTCTGGTAACTGACACCGCATGAGGACATACAGACTCAGATTTTTCCCCCATAGGGATCAGACGGCCACTAGAGGTGCTTCCTGGCAGCATTGACGTTCAGCATCTCCACGTTCTGGATGGAGACGCTTAACATTCCCCACAGAGATGCATTGATTCAATGCCTCTCGAAGAAAAGATGCTGATTGGCGCAGAGCGGTGTTTTGCCATGCATGCACAATAGCCTCCCAATGCTTTCCAAAGGCGGCGCAGGGGCGAAGCCAATGCAGCACTGGAATAAAGATGAGGTAACTCACTTTTACACGAGGGAGGAGGTGGAGGGGAAAGGGGGTTTAAACACGATAGTTATATTACAGCTATGGTGACAGGAATAAATGTTTGTATTCCTGTCACTATAGTGTTCCTCTTGACAATTTAGGTCATAGTAGTAGATTAAGAAATATATTGGCAAATCAGCAAGTATGGAGAACTTTTTATAAATTCTCTGTTTTGGTATAAAAATTTTTTTTACCAGCTCAACATTATTTCAGATAGGTAAACAGACTCCTAAGGATACTATAAATGGTAAGTCAAAAGTTTCTCACATTTAGGAACATCAAATCATTACAATTTTTTTGTACAAGAACACAAAAATGGTGTGAACAGTGGAGCAAGTGCTGTTCAGACTGTTACCTGCAGTATGGGTTCCTTCTAGAAGAATAGCGCAGTGTTAGGAACCTGTAGTAGATGAAGGGCTGCAATAAGCTACCTTGGCCACTGAAACGAAACACACGGATTTTGTTAGCTACTTAATACAAAAGACAAAACACAAATGTACATGTAATTGACCACCAGTTGTAAATTTATTATACTTTGCCATAGAGGAGTTGCAGTTTCTTATATATAAGATAGATATATAGATAGATATTTACTAAAAGTACTCATTAGCCAGATGCAAACATAAACTAAATTGGAAACGAAAGATAAATGCAATACGTCCAGAATAAATTGGCATTGGCGTCAAAAACAATACCATATTGCCCTCAAAATATCTTACCTGAGTAGCATAAAAACGGTGGCTGGCATTAAAAAGATTTCATTGCAAGCAACGAACTTCAGTATATTTTGTTGATTTTCATTCAGTTTGTTCAAAAGACCCCGGACAAATGGCATGCTATTTATTCCTTTAGCCTGAAATGAGAGGAAACACCAAGTGTATAATACAATATAAAGTATTTAACCCCCTAATTCTAATCAAGCAAGCTACAAGAGTTCAAAATGTATTATATGTACTTCCATAACAAACATCGGTCAAGAGCTGGTAATTAATGCAACACAAAGTTAAAGAAATAGTGGTACTAAGTATAGTATAAACTTAGTCTGTGCAGTGCAGTTTGGCTCATGTACGTAACGGACTTCAATATTTTAATGTATACAGAATAAAATATTACGCTGTAAAACATCAATGCTCTGAGGACAAGGTCGAGTTATTTTCACAAGTAGACAAACTGCTTGGCTTAGTAATGTCCACTAAACAGACTGTTTAAAAAGATGGTACTTCATGCTGGGACAAATAGTGCCTGAAAGGTTCCCTAAACCTTGGATCAGATAGTCTCAAGTGGTTGGCATTGAGAGTGAGTGGAAAATATGGTCTGATATTTGGAGTTTTACAAATAGAACCACATAAAGGAACTCCAATTAAGATATAGTGTGCAGATGGCATATTGTCCCTCAGATAATACACAAGTTTAACCCATTAATGTCTGAGGCTTGTTGGCTGTGTGAAGAGAGCATCTGAAGTAATCTTCATATGTGGTGGGAGTGCAAACTTATTAAACCGACCTGGGATGAGATTTTTGGGGTTTTTGCTGCCTTGACTAAGACCGTATTTAGTCCCCTTCCGAAAATAGCAATAGCGCATTACGGCTTGAATATTTTATCATTAGCAATGAGGAGCTTGGTTATTTATGTCATTGTGGCTATGAAGCTTATAATTGCTCGCAACTGGAAAAGTTAGAGTCATATATGTTGGGGTGAGGTTAAAAAACAGATCAACCATGTAGCTATAATGGGAAAAGGTTTTTCCATTTCTCAGTTAAACCTAGAGGATTCTATAAGATTGGGCAACCTTGGTATATTAAATTCCCAGAGGAATACACAGCTGAGACGGGGGATCGGAATTAGATTTCTGATATCCTTGCAGAGGGGCCAACGGAAGGACAGACGGGGATGGAGGTCGCATCAAAGTGATGAAGGTTGTTTGTCTAAATGGGTATCAAAGTAGTGATTTTTATTATTATTTTTTAATATGTGTTTTGGTCCTATTTGATTTCTTTTGATACTACAAATGCAGTGGCCTAATGATACAACCATATAGATCTGAGAGATTTCTATAAGAGTTGTCTGATACCTGCAAAGTAAAAGAGGAGAAGATATGGACTCTTCAGGCTATGGCCAATCCAATCCTCCTCATAGAGGAGCACTGGGGATTACGCTCACACTCAAGCTTTCCAAACAGGAATTTGAATCAATGCTTTCCTATGGCGTTTCTGCAGTAATAGGCGCTCACATCAGGGCTGCCGGCATTGAACATAGATGACATTAGACGTTCTCATGCAAACTGTGAAGACATCCAACATCAGAGAGCAGAGTTTTATTCCACTAAAAGTCAGAAAGCATCATCTAGTTGCTGTCTAAGACAGCCACTATAGGTTGGATTTTGCCCAGTGTGCCTAACACTAACACTATACCCTTACCTTATGTTTGCACTAACCATATACATACCAGAACCTCACCCTTACACTAACCCTAAACACACCATAAACACACCTAGCCCTAAGGTTCCGATATTAGAAAATGGGCTTCCTAGTTAAAACAGTAGATAGTGGTCTGTGACCGCCGTATACAGGCCGGTTTCATAATTACATTCACTGTAATTATTAAAGGAAATAAGGAGAATTGTGGGGCACACCTGAACATACATTTCTCAGTAGTGGTGCTGCCATAAAGACCAAATATATACAAAATACAGATTAGGCTACAACACACACACACACACACACACACACACACACACACACACACACCAAAAATTTAATTTGAATTGAGTAAATATGGTAGACAGCTCCTAGAGGTTTAACACTGCAATGTAATTATTGCAGTTTATTTAAAAAAAATAAAATAAAAAAAATGGAATAATTACCATTGCATGGTTGAGGGTCCTAGGACACTGCACCCAGACCACTTCAATGAGCTGAAGTTGTCTGGGTGTCTATAGTGTCCCTTTAAGCATGGCACATTCTACTGTTGGGATGGGGTTAAATTCATCTTCCATCACCAGGAGTATTGGACACTCTACAGTTCATAAGTGTTAATCTATGTCTTTATTCAAATAAAACTGCAAACCTTATTCATATATCAAACCTCTACCTGTTCTAGTAAAATTTCCCACAATTTCTTTCCACATTTAAAAACACAGCAAATGGCTGACAAAGGGCTTGTGGGTTATTTTGTTTACTAACAAATACACAAAGTGTGAACATATGAGAACAACAGGGTTATTCACACAAGTGTGACAAGTCGTGAATGCAAAGTACATTTTTAAATTTGAGGCATTTGTTTGTGGACCAAATATTAAATATCTAGGAGAATCACAGGAAAGGTATTACACAAACATTTTCAGAGCAACAGGAAAGCACATTTACACGACACAACAGAGTTTGAATTTTCAGAAACTGGTGTTTAATTTTAGAAAATGTACTTACATCCAAGATTTTCTTTGTGTACGTTGATGCATGAAGCAAAGAAAAGAGCAAAACTGGGAAAATACTCACTGTAACAAAATGTCAAGGAAAAACACATTGGACATATGTTCTTTTATATCATATACATAATTAAACACCCATTTCAGGGATTATTATGCAGTAAAACTACGGCCTGTCACCAAGATGGCAGTTTGTTATAGTTTCATCTTACTATTCCGTCTGTGACATTGGTTCATTGTATATGTGCAGCTCAAAAAATTTATTGCAATAAGTGAGAATAAACACTTCTCTGTGTTACTGTATGGCATTGTTACAGTTTGTGTATTGTAACAAAACTTAATAAAAATGTGTACGGTGGGGGAAGGAATTACAAAAGGTCCATCCCCTCAGATACAAAAATGGTAAAAACTTATACTTACTTATTTTGAAATCACCACACAATTTCAAAATACCAGAGATCATTTATCAGGTTATCACAAATCATAAGCCTACTTTATTAAAGGAACACTACAGTGACAGGAATACAAACCGGTATTCCTGTCACTATATATGTTATGAAAACACATTTTAGGCCCCCATGATTTTATACACCTTTTTTTCTAGTGATGCACAGCTGGCCCCACCCACGCTCCGTCCCCTTGGCTGGAATCAAACATGATTATCTCAGCCAATTCAATGTTTTCCCATAAAAAAAAAAAAAACAATCAGCATCTCCTCATAGAGATGCACTGAATCAATGCACCTCTATGAGGAACATTCAGCGCCTGCATGCAACACATGGAGACGCTGAACATCAGTGCTGCACACTGTGCAACAGTGACTCACGAAGCACCTCTAGTGGCAGTTTGGGTGTGGCCATTAGAGGTGTTACTAAGCAGCAATGTAAACACTGCCTTTTCTCTGTTTACATTAAAAAGCCTGCAGGGACTGACTATACTCACCAGAAAAACTACATTAAGCTGTAGTTGTTCTGGTGACTTAAGTGTCCCTTTAACCATTTAAGTGTCGGAGATATTCTTCCTATCAACACACTGGGTACACTTGAGACATTTAAAGCATTAACTCTTCTGTGGCACTCTTCTATGCTTACTGACCTTCCTTATCTTTTCACTCCGTTCTTTAGTCTGTATTTGCTCTTCTTTCCTGTCTTTTTATCTTTCTTATTCAGCACCTTCTAACCCGTGCCTATGTTTAACATTTAGGTCGGTTGAAATATTCTCTTTTACAATATTATATCAGTGTTAATTATATTATCTTATTGTTCCTTTAAATGGAGATGTACTGCTATATTAAATTTGTGATGAACCCTCCCTCTCCCCCCCAAAAAAGAGGTTATTTAAAAACTATAAATGCATGTAGGCATAATACTGTATCATCACTGAGGATTCTGTACAGTATTACAATACAGCTCTGAAGCTGAATTCACAAATAAGTTATAGTCTTAGCCCTATGCCCTGCTCCATGTGTGCAGGACATTAAAAATAAATAACCTTGCTGGCTTCTGATCTGGATATCTGGCTTCTTTTTCCCCTTAATTTGTTAGCCAAATCTCCTACACACATAGCAAACGAAATCCCCAACCACAAGACATGTGGGAATAAGTGAACAGTTAATCCACACAGCCCCTTAACACCTAAAGAGTCGGTAATCAAGCAAGATTTTTCGCTCTGTATTAAAGGAACACTATAGTCATCAGAACAACTACAGCTTAATGTAGTTATTCTGGTGAGTATAGACAGTTCCTGTAAGTTTTTTGTTGTGCACACTGTTTTATCAGATGGATTGGCTGAGGTAATCAATTCTGATAATGTCAGCCAAAGAGGCAGATTGGGGGAGGGCCAGCACCTGCAGACCTGTGGTGAGCTGGAGAAAAGGGAAGTTAAACACTCTCTAAGGGGCAAGCCTCCTAAATGATGCTTTTAACAATATAAGCTCAGGAATACAGGTTTGTGTTCCAGACCCTATAGTGTTCCTTTAAATTCACACAAAGCCATACATACACTGTGTAGGGAGGCTTTTTGCCAAGTCTTTAGTTAACACAATCTTGGGTAGTCTTCATAGGATAATTAAAACAAATACAAAAAGGATACTTGTAACCGGATAGGAGTTGACAAATATTAGCGAATATAAGAGATAATGGCAGCTGTCCTCTAGCAGAGCCTGTGCTAGGAATGCACGGCTAAGCTGAAAATGTGGTAATCTCTGATGGAGTCGAAGTGCACTGGTGAGAGCATTTGCCAGTAAGGCACGTTGATAAAAGCTGGCTGCTTCATGTAAGCTAGAAATTAAAACAATGAGGTTACAATCTGAAAACGTTTATTTCCAATAAATATCATCATTAAACAATCTATGCAAAAATAATCAGTGCGGCGGGTACGGAAATATTTTGAAATTATAAGTAGTTCATCTTTTGAAAAAGAACCCAGCTTGGCCATATAAGATTACAACAGCAGAATAACTTTTTATCTGAGGATATAGTAATAATAATCAGATCACTTCTGATGCAGTAACATTGACAAAACAAAATTTAAACATACATACATATGTACATAACGTACATATACTACACATTTTTAAATTAACGGCTTATTGGTAAAATTTTACTGAATGAATTTTCCATAGTGACCCCCTGTACCCTGCGAGTGGGGACTATCAAAATAAAATGGGGGGGGTGATCTAATGTTCCCTTCAGATGTGTTTCTACTTGTGAGTTTCCGTCGGCTCCCTCTTCTGGGTCAATGGGACTGGAGCTGAATTATTCTCTCGTAACTGCTACAGATGGATGCTCTAACTGCAAGGTTTCTTCAATCAATGGAATTTACATGTGACTTGCAGATGTTCCTTTAGTAGACTTTTTACAACAGACTACTTGGGAGGCTGCCTGGGAGTCATGAAGGGCTCAGAGAACTTTGTTGTTTCAGAATGTAAGACAATGTTCTCTAGTTGAAAGATTTAGCTGGCTCAGCAAGAACTCCTTTGGGACCCTTATGTCTTCTTTCAGCAGACATCATGGTGACTGCATATGTCAATCCACCAAGAAAATGCTGCAGACATGAGTCATCAGACATGTGATATGCAAGATTCTACAGTGGGCTACAATAAGTCTTGTCCATGAAGTTTCTAAGGACCAAATCAACAAGTCAACTTATCTGGTTGTCCTTGCATATATTGTTTATTGACCCTGCTTATGAAAGTAAAGTGCAATGGGCAATTTTCCCCATTCAGTTATCAGCACTACCTACCCTTAGGTTTTTAAGAAGCACCAGTCCCGCTCTACTTCACTATACAATCGCATGTTATGACTCATATGCTCTCACCATTCAAGGAAGGAAAATAAAAATGTATTTCCATCCAGATGGTGTGAGAACACAAGGCCTTGGCCGTCCCGGGGTGCCAGTGCTTTATGCTTCAACTTCCCTACTTGATTTTTTGTTTCTTTCTGTTTTTCTCCCCTTTCCTTGGCAATATGTACAACTAAGGATTATAGAGGGTTCTGGGGTGTTTCACAGGGTGTTTGTTCTACCTCCTCTAGTTGGGAGAAACCGATTAAAAGTAAAAAAAAAAAAAAAAGCCCAGTATGCCAACAATAACATTGCCATTAGTTAATGTATATAAAAAGTTTCAAAAATCACCAAAAACCATAAATTTTGCTTATAGATTTTTGAACAAAAATGGAAAACACTTACCCTAAAACAGGAAGAATAAATAGCGCTGAACAGTATACTGTGAACCATCTAGAAAGCCACATTGCAGTGTCAAGCTTATTTGCCATCATAAATTGCTAAAATAAATAAAAATACAAAAAATACATCAAGATTTACAATGCAATGGTGATCAGAATGCTTATGTACCAAAACTCACAAGCAGAATAAAATATTTCATTTTTTAACATTTACTGTATATCAGCTCATTTGCGACACCATTAAATTACAAAGTGTTAATGAAAATGAATACTTAGTGTTACTCCGGTGATTTGAACTGGTCATGGTCTTTGACGTCTGTATTTGCTGAGTTTCGCTATAAAAACGGTGCACATGTGGCGTTTAACCCCTCTGCTAAAGTGTCATCAACAAGCCCAGAACTTGAGCCCTAGGGCGGCTAATGCCAGTTCTGTGCAACACTGTTGCCAAGTATTATCAGTCAAAGGCAGAGAGTGGTCAGCTGATACTCTGTGCCAATGAATTGCAACAGCCATGGCTTCCAGCTTCTGTGACTCTGCATACTGGAAGTGCGTCAATAGATCACCAGGGAGCGAATGAGCCCAGCGGGGGATCCAGGTAAAGAGGTAAACCGCTGCTAAATGGAAAATTTGGAAGCGGAAATTGACATGTACCATTTGACCCTACAACATGTTAAAATATGAGTAAAATATTAAAGGTCTTACATTAATTTGACACATCATTGGAAGAATTCCACACAAAAATGAAATATGTAGAATATGTTTGTAAAAACACAAAAATTAAATATAGTCAGGAGATTTGGGCAAATGGTTGGAAGAAAAATAAAAAAAATACTACAGAGTGGTCCACGTTCTAAAATTTATATGTAAGGGTTTTGTATTCTGTGACTGCCATTAAAGGATCACTATAGTGTCAGGAAAACAAAGCAGTTTTCCTGACACTATAGTGCCCTGAGGGTGCCCCCACCCTCAGGGTCCCCCTCCCTTGGCGCTGAAAGGGTTAAAACCCCTTCAGCAACTTACCTTATTCCAGCGCTGGTGACCTCTCCTACCCCGCCAACGTCAGCGGAGCCGAATGCGGGCGCATTCAAAGTGTCCATAGGAAAGCATTTCTTAATGCTTTCCTATGGACACTCTGCGCGATGGAGGCATAATATGAGAAGACAGCCACTAATGGCTGGCTTAACCCCAAATGTAAACATAGTTTCTCTGAATTATTTTTACAGAGAAAACACCGGCATAAACTATTAATTTTCGCCTCATCACTTTTATGCCCTTAGATTACAATTTCCATTGTCAACTACGGTACATATGGAAGATCAACTTACCACTGCTCCGACCTGAGGAGGGCTCGTGGGGGCAGAGTCAGCCATGTCTGCAACAGTCTAGAGGAAAAGGACACAATTAAATATATTTGAGAACAGAATAGAAAACAGACAGTAAACAGAGAAACTGCATATAAAAGGTGGATGTGAAGTGTTTTATACATCAACACCACTGTTTTTGTTTCTCCTCCTCTTTCAATGTATTTTGTCTATGCAGAATGCCAGATGAAAAAACATCTTAGAGCAGCAATTCAAAGGAGTTCTGATAGAGGCGTCAAGTTAAAGGACACAGCGCTTTGGATTTCTACATTTAAATGAACACTCCAAGCACCATAACTCTCACAGCTAGCAAGGAGCTTCAAGCAGAATGATAGGGATAGGCAGCACCTGGTGGCACACAAGTTGTCAAAATGTTCTTAAATGGTCTCACTACTCACTCTGTGGGAGGTGTCATGGTACAATATCCTCCTAGTCAGCAAATGCATATTTGTTAAATATAGGAGGACACGTAAACCTATCATTAAAAGACAACTGAAGTGACCCAACCCAGACTGCAAGGGCATACTCTTTATAACAAAACAGCTTAATTAATTTAAAAGCTGTTTGGTGAGTACAGTGTCCTTTTAAAGCACTTTGATAAGCTTATTTAAGATTCTTAAATCATGACTGTCATAGCACATCCCTTTAATGAAAGGGTTAATGGTAAAAGTTCAGTCTGTGGAACACATAGGAAAAATGATTCCCTTAGCACATTGAAGCCAATCAATCCATCAACATAAAATATATCACCTTTAAACCGCACACTGTTGTGGATATGGTGCCTAGAGTGCCCTAGCAAACCTGCAATGTAACTTGTCAAACCGTTTGACAACAGTATGACAACTTGCCTCGGCTCCAAAGGGCGATGATTACTTTCTGGCACCATAGCCACAACAGGGCACTGTGTTAATTTAATGACAGAACAAAAGTACTTTAATTTTCTTAAGTTTATGCTGCATAAGATATGTGTAATGGTGTTAGACAGCTATGGATGCACGCCATTTTTTTTTTTCTAGACCGTTTCATACCAGGAAGAAGAAAAAAATTACATCAGAAGGCCACAAGTCTACCCTTCACACTGTGAAAAATCCAGGCTCTGAGCACTGGGGTACAGAATAAATGAGCAGTGACCAATTGCCATTAAAGGAACACTATAAGCACCCATACCACTTCATCTCCATAAAGTGGGCTTGACGCAGAGTTTCTGTCCTCTTAAAGGACCACTATAGTGCCAGGAAAACAAACTAGTTTTCCTGGCTGTATGGGGTATTTGGGTCCCCCCCACCCTCAGGGTCCCACTGCAGGGCTGAAGGGGGAGAAAGGGGTTAAAGGCTTACCTTTCTCCAGCGCCGGGCTCCCTCTGCGCTGGGGACTCTCCTGACTCTTCCGACGTCATCCGCTGAATGCGCATGCGCAGCAAGAGCCGCACGCGCAGTCAATCCATAGGAAAGCATTTCTCAATGCTTTCCTATGGACGCTGGCGTCTTCTCACTGTGAAAATCACAGTGAGAAGCGCGGAAGCGCCTCTTCTGGCCGTCAATGAGACAGCCACTAAAAGCTGGATTAACCGTAATGTAAACATAGTTTACAGCAGGCAGGGTTAACCCTAGATGGAATTGGCACCCAGACCACTTCATTAAGCTGAAGTGGTCTGGGTGCCTATAGTGGTCCTTTAACCCTGCAATGTTTATATTGCAGGGTTAACTCCTCCTCTAGTGGCTGTCATACTGACAACCACTAGAGTCGCTTTGGCGGCACAGAGAGTACAACGCGGTCACGTGATGTGAAAACCCCATAAGAATGTATTTAGGCTAAGTTTAAATGTGTGCTGTGCATGCGCATTAAGTCCCCACTGCTGCTCTACGAGGTGCACTGGAATAAAACTCGCCAGAGGGACTCCTGCCTTCTTCATGAAGGCACACAGGGAAGAGAGGCATTGCAAACATGTTATGTAAAGAAGTATTTTTAACTCTTTTACTGCCAGGGGGAACCTAGTAGTACTAGGGACAGAAACGCTAACGTTACGAATACAGAGGAGTATTGCTAAAGTTCTAATGTTCCTTTACCATTTTTGGCACTGCTGACTGACGGATGGTAACCTGCAATGACACACTATTCATAGGTTGAGTATCTAAGCTTAATTCACAGAACTAGAAACGCAGTTTTGGACAATGGCCAGTAACAGAATCAGAGGGATTTCGTCATAGTTTTTATGAAGAATGTTAATAGAGGTCAAGTTGCCACAAGTCAATAGCTGAACTCCTGAAATTTCCTTTTTTTTTTTTTTTTTTACTCAAATCTACTTGTTCAAGGGACCAACGTTATATCCCAATCTACTTATTGGTCATGTTACTCAACTTGTCTACTGGTCATGATTATTTCAAATTAGAGTACCTGCCTAGAGCCCTGGACATTGACCAAATTATTCACTAAATTTCAAATGACAGAATTAAATGCAAATGTAAAATCTGAGACAATAGCAGATTTGGAAAAATTCTCCATAAGAGCATTAGTCATAACCTTTTCATTAAAGGAACAGTCTATCTTTCTAAATGAAGCTGTTATGGTTTTTCAAGACAGTTTTGTGAATGGGGAGTCACTGATTGGCTGAGAGCATCAGCTGACCGATCTTAGCCAATCAGCTATGCCCCTGCCCAGCGGCACTCTGCACTTCCTGAAACTTAAATTTCAGAAGTTGGAGCTGCCTTAGGGACCTGACTATCGGTGCTGGCAGCAACTTTGGTGTTAAACAGTTCGATAACGGTTTAACCCCTTAAGGTAAGAGTGCACCCGCAGACCTCCTGGCATCATAACAACTTCCTCTAAATTAAGTTGTTAATAAAAGGTGCCTAAACTATCCCTTTAAGGATTAAATTCACCTCTAGCATTGGATTGGACCAACGACGAAGGGAAAGAGATGAGCAATGTTTCGGAGCTGGAAAAAAGGTTCATAAATCATTTATTTTAGCAATTATTATGGCTAACTGTGAGACCTGTATTGTACAAGGTAAATAGTAAGAGGGAGGTCAGGCCACATAAGGTTACATCCAGTGTAGAATTTATTGGAGACAATAGCCATTCGTTTCTAATAAAATCTGCGCTGGGTGTAATCTTGTGTACCAGGACCTCGTTATTTACATTGGAATTAAGGCTTTGACACCCTTGTCTGTGTGGCATCAAGCCACGACCCAGAAATACAAGGACAAGATTCCCCGGTAAACTATGAATATCAATAAAATGTATAAACTAATGACAATGCAATGATAGTACATATCCTATGACACTTGTCCTACCACAATAACTAGGACCTCCCGTATGTAGTTATGGTGGACTAACCATATCAAGGCTGGCTAAGCGCCATTAGAGTTGTAGTTTACAAATAACTGAGTGCCAAAGCTTAGCCTTCACACTAAGTCTGTGATGGCTAATTTGGCAGCATCAGAGCTGGCCAGGCATTATAGGAAATGTCATCGCAGCATCCCATCCCATCCCAGTCCAGGGTAAACCAACATGGTCTGGGCATTTCCCAATCCCGTTTCACTGGGCATGGTGACTGGCTGTATGGTAAGTGTGGGGCTGCTGTAAGGGCTGAGTGATCACAGGGAGGGATCCCAGCTGCTGGCAGACTGTAACTCCCACTGAGAGCATCCAAGCATTGTCAGCCATTACTGGGGGGGGGGATGGAGCCCTGCCCTCCCTCACACAGCCCTCCCACTGCTCACAATCCCCTGAATGACACACACACACGGGTTGCCATGGCAGCAGGCTCACTGCCTGGGTGGCCCTCAGGGGCCAATTATGTAGCCCCAGGCTCCTGTGTTAATCCGAGCAGGTGATGGCTCTCCCCGGGCCTCCCGCTGCCCATTCATCCGCACGAGGCTGCACAGACCGGCCCCGCCGGCCGCTATCCCCGGCCCCCCCTCTATGAGAATCACCCCCTAACCGCCCGCCCGCCGCCGCCGCCATACTGCCCCCACTGTCCCCCCCATCCCACAACCCCCCACGGCGGCTCACCTCAGCCCGATCCCTGACACCGGCCTGTCACTCCTTCCGGCGGCGGAGCTGCTGCAGAGACTGACGGCTCTGACGTCGAACCCCTGATCGTCCAATGGCTGCGCCGCGAGAAGCAGGTGGGCGGGGCCGTGACTTGGCCAAAAGCCTGTCCGTGTTGCGAGGCTCGCGCCGTGTTGATTGACAGCCTGCGCGGCCAATAGGCAGCCGTTAGGGGAGGGGTTGTTCTTCTGGAATCTTCTATAGTGAGCAGTGTAGTGATAGTGAGTGTGTTACTAGATTGGTTATTAACCACCAACACTGAATAGCACTAATAGCAATACTACTAATAATAATAATACATAGCACTAATAGCAATACTAATAATACAAAGCACTAATAGCAATACTACTAATAATAGCAATAATAATAATACATAGCACTAATAATAATAAATAGCACTAATAGCAATACTACTACTAATAATAATACATAGCACTAATAGCAATACTAATAATAATAGCAATAATAATAATAATAGCAATAATAATAATAAATAGCACTAATAGCAATACTACTACTAATAATAATACATAGCACTAATAGCAATAATAATAATAATAGCAATAATAATAATAAATAGCACTAATAGCAATACTACTACTAATAATAATACATAGCACTAATAGCAATACTAATAATAATAGCAATAATAATAATAATAGCAATAATAATAATACAGAGCACTAATAGCAATAATAATACATAGCACTAATACCAATAATAATACAGAGCGCTAATAGAAATAATAATACATAGTACTAATAGCAATAATAATACAGAGCACTAATAGCAATAATAATACTAAGCACTTATAGCAATAATAATACAGAGCACTAATAGTGCTCTGTATTATTATTATTGCTATTAATGTTCTGTATTATTATTATTATTATTATTCCTAATAGCAATAATACAGAGCACTAATAGCAATAATAATACATAGCACTAATACCAATAATAATACAGAGCGCTAATAGAAATAATAATACATAGCGCTAATAGGAATAATAATACAGAGCACTAATAGAATAATACAGAGCGCTAATAGAATAATACAGAGCGCTAATAGAAATAATAATACAGAGCGCTAATAGGAATAAAAATACAAAGCACTAATAACAATAATAAAACATAGCGCTAATAGGAATAATAATACATAGCACTAATAGCAATAATAATACACAGCACTAATAGTAATAATAATACAGAGCGCTAATAGAAATAATAATACATAGCACTGCCTTGTCATCAACTGCTTGGAGCCATGTTTGCATTCATTTATTACCTGTATTTTTATTATGTTCACTTTTATTTATTTATTTAACTTTCATTATTTTTAAGTTTTGTATTTGTTTTTTTTTTATGTTTAAAGGGACACACAATGTATTTTTATTTAATAAATAATTTAGTACATATACCCCCATAGAAAACATACATGTATATTTTTTCAGCATTTTTCTCTTCGGTAGTTGAAAGGGTTAATGCTGTTCTGGACTCAACTCCCCTCGATTCTTGATTCTCCGGTCACCATAATCAATATTGATGGAGAATCATTGTTAGCAATAAAGACACGGACACCACAAATGTGCTTTAACAAGATTCTCAAATGAGTGTATTTTCAGGGCTAGCATTTATACACAGTTTGTCAGGCAAGCAGCGTTATTTATCGCTTCCTTATAGTTAATAGTGCATACTTGTCTGACATTAAAAGATAAGCATTTGAATAAAGATGGGACAGGAACATCCTGAGGTCGAGCAAGGTCGCACATCTTCTAGAAGGAAGACCTTGGTACAAAATACATCTGCCAAAGTCAGCATAATTATTTCAAACATTATTTTAAAGCATATAAAGCAAAAAGGGTTTAACCATTTCATATCC